GCAATCTTTCTGCCCGTGGTACGGCAAAATGCCCGCGTAACAAAATCCGCTGGCTGAGCCTTAATGCCCACAATGCCTTCCGAATCATGTGATAACCCCTTGGCTTTCGTACTTGCGTTTCGCTGTTCCACGTGAAAGACTTATTGTTGTTGCAGTGCGCTATTTCGTGTGCTTTTCGTTTGCAATTAGCAAACTTTCTGCAAGTGATTCGAGTGAAAAGAAGAAGCGTAAAGTGCTCTCGATGGAAAGAAAGAGAGAAATTATTGATAAATATGAGCGAGGTCCTCCTCCACCAAGAACTTCATCTTCAGACAGCATCGCCTCACTCAAAAGGCGATGGAAAAAGGTGCTTCGACTTACAAAAATTTTGACTTACGAAAGACCCTCTGGAACGAATTTATTTCATAAGTTGGGGTTCCACTGTATTTAATTCCTTTATAACTACAATCTGGCAAGTTGATCATTTTATTGTTTTGTAATATGTCTGGATTGTTCCAGATAGGTGTACGTTTGCATGGGATTAATGAAGGCTGTTATTTTTAGAAACTCCCACCATGCTGTCAGAGAAGAGCTGATGTTGATGCTTTTAAAGCATTCATGTTGTTTGATGTTTGAGCTGATAAATGGTATCCAGGGTTCATCTAAGAAGGTGTGTTTTAACCATCTAGAGATGAACTGAAGCCTGTTGGCTAAAAAGCAGTGATTAAAGTTAGGCAGATCTAGTCCCCCTTTATCCTTGGTCCTTTGTAATGTTTTTAAGCTGATATGCCAAAGGAATTCAGAAATATACAAGTCTAGAGATCTGAACCAATCTTTTGATGGCTTACTTGGGATCATTGAAAACAAATAGTTTATTTTTGGCAAGACCATCATTTTTATAGCGGCGGCCCTTCCCATGAGTGATATGGGTAGAGATTTCCATCCAGCCAGATTGCCTTCTACTGTCTTTAAAAGTGGGATGTGGTTTTATTTAGTTAATTCTGCAAGCTTAGGAGAGATACCTAAATATTTAATATTCCCAGATTGCAGTCGGGCAGATGAAGAATTATGGAAGGAGCAATTAATCGGAAGAACTGT